TCCTCTGTTCTGTGAAAAAAAGGAAGGTGGATCATGGAAGGACCTGGTACAGGTCTTTGTGTACCAATTTTGTTTTTTAAATCATAAGAGTTGTCTTTCTGCCTTATTCCTAAAAACATCTACTTTGCTGAATCTCATCTGTTGGGCTTTTTAGCATCCTGGTCCCTAGTCTCTCCAGAAAAATCTTGACAACATTCAGTGTGTTCAGACTTTTAAGTGTAAATTAAAGTTGTATTTCAAAAGTTGTAGATTACCCAAACCTGGTGGCATATGCCTGTAATCCCAACACATGGGAGACTAAAGCAGGAGGTTGAGGCCAGCCTGGGGTAGGCTACATAGTGAGACCCTGTCTCAATATTTGGGGGAAAAAAAAGGTTGTAGATTAGTAGGTAGGAGTTTAAATGCAGTTTTTAATTCTTGGACACTTGTTAAGTACCCACTGTGTTTAAACGCCATGTTGGGTACTATGAGAGAGCCCAAGAAGAATAAGATTTCCTGAGGAACTAGAGAGAAAGAATACATTTCAACAATAGGAATAGGGTGGTTTTATTTTTTAACAGTATAGTGACATAGGGTTTATCTAATTCACACAAATAATTTCTCTGATCTATACGGTGAAAATCTAGACTGAGCTGGGGGTAAATCCTTACACTGAAAGCAAAATAGCCCCTATAAGTCATCAGTAATCACTTGCTAGGGAAAAAATTCTATAACCACACAGGTCACACAAACATTTTTAATACCATTTGTGTTCCCTTTTTTTTTTCCAAACTGAGCAAAATAACACAACCTTTTCCTCTCTTATACTTTTCAGTCTTCACTTACATCAAGCTACATGCAAATAACCACAGGGGAACTAGAAAGTAACAAGGCAGTACAGAGAAGGAAGGGGACATTTCTTACAGGGATCCAGAAAGACTTCATTTCCATTGGTGAATGAGAGAATTTGGTTTCTCATAGCTGTAATGATTCTAACTGTGGTCCTGACCTCCAAGCCCCTGTGATCAGTAGGTAAATTTTAGAACCTTGGGATGGATAGCTAGGAGGTAGAGGCTCCAATAGCTGATCTGCTGCCATTGTTGGTGTGAGAGAGGTCCAGGAGAGGACTGCTCCAGTGACTTTATTGCAGTTTAATTTCATGACTCTCTCTTGAGTTTCTGCATGTATTAAAAACACTGTGAAGACTAAGATAAATAAAATCATATCCCTTCCACACACTGAACGAGTGGAAGGCATAGAGATATACCACTAAGTACAACCAGTGTAAGGCAGAATGGTGGCTGGAATGCAGAGGAAGAAACAGGGCTAAGGAAGCATGGAAGGGAAGCCATTGACAGGATTTCCTGCTCGGTTAGTTAAAGCTTCATATAGGAAGTAATATTTGCCTGGATCTTGAAAATGAATAATATTTAAAGATAGAAAAGAAAGGAAAAGGCCTGGCACACAAAGGAAGTAGCTTAAAAACATGAACATAAGACATGAACAGTCTAGTAATGCTAGAATAGCCAGTAATAAGTTAGAAAGGTGGGGCGGGACTGGGTTGTGAAGGACCTTAAATGGCAATGCTAAGAGATAAGACTATTCTGTAAGAAGAAGGGAGCCACCAGATGTTTTTGAGCAAGAAGGTCCAGATCTGATTTGTGTAACATTCCCTGGGCTGTGTGCAGATGGCTTAGAAGGAAATGAAGTGTACAGGGAGTAAGCATAGCTTCAGTCCAGACCTGAAGTGGGAAGGGCGTGAAATAAGATGGTAACAATGGAAAAAGCAAAAGGAGATGAAGTCAAGATACACTTGCAGGGTGGAAGCAGTAAGCAGTACTACCAGCTGGAAAGGCGAAATGTGAAGAAGGAATAGAAGATGATCCCAGTGTTTCTAGTCCCAGTGGTGATAATGCCATGGGTGAGAGTGGGGCATCACTGGAAGTGCAGATTTGATTTTGGAAAGTTGTGGGTTTGTGACATTTCTTTCCACACTGGTATTGGAAGTTCATGAGAAGAACTTGAGACTAGTGCCAAGGCCAGAGATAGAAACTTGGAGAATTATCCCCAAATAAATGATAATGGTAGCCGTGGAGCCCAAAGAGTTAGCCCAAAGGAGATTAAGGGCAAGGAGAGGCAGTAAAAATCAGCAGATGCTTCTAGAAAACACCTTCTTCTAGAGGGAAAAAAGAAGAAAAGCAAAGAGCAAAAGGAGATGTAGCTGCCAACAGAAGGGGAAAGTAGGGGAGGGCGGAAAGAGGCTCCCTTCCAGGAGCCGGGATGCTGTGGTTGCAGGAATGTGGTGCCTGGGACAGGGAAGTCCTGGGGAAGTGAGGGAGTTCCAGCCTGTCATAGGGACTGTTCATAAATCAAAATAATCATATGTCAGTGACTCTTGATCCTTCATCCTGCCATCCTTGCTCATTTTCTTAGTATTCCTCCCAAAGACTCATTCCTCCTACTCCTACTCCCTCTTGAAATTCCCCTAGTGAAAGGGGAAGTGAAGAAGTAAAGGAGGAGGATAAGGTTAAAAATGTAAAATGTTTATAAATGAGTTGCATGTTCTTCATTTTGAATAAGTTACCTTAATGATAATAATGTCACTTTGTCTAGTTTTTATGTATTTGTTACAAAAAGTAAAGGTAATATGAAATTTTTTGATCCAGTTGAGGCTTCCATGTATTTCCTGATTCCCAGAGTCCTAGACCAGAGTCTCAACTCTCAGGAGTTCCATCAAATCAGGTCTGGCCACTCATTCAAAAACCAAATGGAGGGGCCAATGGGCGCGGGGTGGTGGCGATTGGGCCTGGAGGCCTGGGGCTTACGGACGCCAGCGGGCCGCGGGACAGACTGACGTGCGGCTGCATCGTGGGAGGCGCACGGCGGGGATGGCGCTGGCGCGGGCCTGGAGACAGATGTCCTGGTTTCTACTACCAGTACCTGCTGGTCACGGCGCTTTACATGCTGGAGCCCTGGTAGCGGACTGTGTTCAACTCCATGCTGGTTTCGGTGGTGGGGATGGCACTGTACACTGGGTATGTCTTCATGCCTCAGCACATCATGGCCATACTTCACTACTTTGAAATTGTACAGTGACCAAGATGTGACCAGGATCAAGAGGCTCCTTGGGGAAGATCCACCCTATGAAGTTGGAGTGAGACTTCATCAGTTGTCAGAAGAAACTCAACTGGAATGAACATAAACAACCTTATACATACAAAGACTAAAATTCATGAGTGGAACAGGAAAATCATCCTGACTCATGTGTTGTGTTCTTTCTTTTTAATTTTAAAAGAAGCTCTTGTATAGTAGTTTTTGTCTATTTTAACATTGTAGTCATTTGTACTTTGATATCAGTATTTTCTTAACCTTTGTGACTGTTTCAATATTACCCTGTGAAAGCTTTTCTTAATGTAACTTTGAGTACATCTTAATTGCCTTCTATTTTTGAAACCCAAGGTCATTAGTTGGGCTTTACTGTTCTTGCTATTGTATGGCATATACATCTGCCTGGATATATTTCTACTCTTGACCAAAGTTTTGTAAGAAACAATACAAGATTTGGGGCAGGGGGATGGGGAGGGAGGATATTTTATTGAGAACTACTTACAAAAGACTTATCTGTAAGCTTGAACTCAGGAGTACAGTTTTAGCTGTCTATACTCTTAACAGCTTTTGCTTTAAAACTATTAAAGTGTTTCTTAGCAATGAAAAAGAAAATATCTTGCTAAAATTATTATGAAGAACATTTCACATTTTAAATATTTAATTCTTATGTGGACTTTGATTCTTGTGATGATAGATGGTTAAGTAGCATTATTAGGTAATGCTTAGATACACAGTAGAGTTTCTCACAGAAGGTAATTAGCTTCCTCTGAGGCATTATCAATAGTGTGTCTTTCTTAAACTTAGTTTCATGATTGTAACAGGTGCTGCAAATGTATTTGCTCATTGTGATGTGATAAGATGAATTGTTCAAAACCATAGCAAATCTAAGAAGTGTAAACTTGGTTAAAATCCTTTCACTCTTTGTATTTTTTTTTTAATTTTTATTCCTTAGATGTAAAATGACTACCTAATTTTTTGATGTAAACTGATTAAATTCAAAGAGAAAAAAAAAACCCAAATAGAATAAGTAATGATGGAAAGTGGATAAGGAACTTTAATCTGTACAGCTATACTGTGAAGGCAAAAGGGGACCAGTGTCCTTAGCCCTGTCTTCAGAGGTACTGACATGAGTTCCCATATTATAAAGGGCAGAGGGACGAGAGGGGAGCAAGAAACACACATAGTCAATCAATCTTAGTCAAACTGTGGTCTGGTTGGTCTTGGTCGTTACATCTTAGAATTGGTCAGGTGGGATCTTGTCACAATAAGAGAAAGTTATTGCTGCCTGGGGAGTGGGGGTAGATTTGACTCGTGTCACAAGATGTTTATCCATCAGACCTGTTGTTCCTGGAATCCAAGGTAACTGCGAAAAGAATGTCTCAGAGCAAAGGAGACAGATGCAAAATGGAGGCAGAAATGCCATGTTTTATACTGCTTTTATTTACTTACCCATTGAACATTTGAAGGCCCAAGTGAAGAGCAAGTGCAGCCTCTAAGTCCTTGTTACACTAACACCTTTCTTCCCTCCCTCCCCCAGCCCTCCTTCCCTCCCTGTCACTGGAGATCAAACCCTTGTTCATGTTAGGCAAGTGCTCTAGGACTATTTATTCTTAAAGAAAACGTATTACCCATCTGCCTCTCCCTAGGCTTGTGAAGGGAGCAGTGCTGTTCTCGCTGACATGCCAGTCATGTTTACTTGTAGTTATCCAGGTATCTTCTGCATTCCAGTTCCTCTATGTCTCTACTTCGCTCTCTCTTTCTCTCTCAAGTTCAAACGACTGGCTATATAGTTTCCAAACGTTCTCTTTTTGCGTTTGACACTCCAAGGTAATGATTTGGAACCTTTGGTCCAGTGACTAGACTTGAATTTGCTGGGTTGTGGTAACATGAGTCATGTCCATTTGCCTTTCTAGATTTTGGCTTCAGTAACCTCTTCACTCCTGGGCAGCTGCTGAAGACGTGGTGTGGTAGCCCTCCCTATGCTGCACCAGAACTCTTTGAAGGAAAGGAGTATGATGGGCCCAAAGTGGACATCTGGGTGAGTACCTGCCTTCTCTTGGGCCCCAGCCAGCCTCTCCATAGATGGCAGTGCCTCAACCTGTTCTTTCACTTCCCGGTTCTTTGTGCAGTATTTCCTCCAGAGCTCATCTTATGGGTTGAGCCTTGGGTTTCAAACTACCCCTTTGCATCTGCAAAAAACCACGAGGTCCGGTGCAGGTGGGCGTACTTGCCAAGTACAGAGATTATTCATTCTGTTGGTGCCACTTGCCTCACCCCTAGAGGAGGAATACTGAGAAACGCTTGCGATCCTACCCCAAATTCATGTCTGGAAGCAAAGAAGAAAGCTGAAGTGTTCTGAAGATGATTGATTGTGACAGTGCTCCGTGTTGTCTGTCATGGAGAAAGAAGAATGTTTGTTCCTTGATTTTTGTGTGGCTCACCATCACCGTCACACACACCCGTAATGGCTCTTGTTTCCTCTGATGCGATTAATCTACATACTCTCTGTTTGGGATGCAGAGTCTTGGAGTGGTCCTCTATGTGCTTGTGTGCGGTGCCCTGCCATTTGATGGGAGCACACTGCAGAATCTGCGGGCCCGGGTGCTGAGTGGGAAGTTCCGCATCCCGTTTTTTATGTCCACAGGTAAGGGAGCTGTCAGCACACAGCTGTGACTGGGTTTGTGGAAATTCAGACATGCTGAGTTATCCCAGGAATTGAGTGGTGGTGTGGAAATGACTCTGGTTTGCTGACCAGGGGCCTACAGGAGGCACAAGGTTTGGTAAAATAGAGAGCCTTACCTGTGCTGAACCTGGGCTCTGCCCATTACTAAGACTGCCTGAGCTTCACTTCCTCCATTAATTAACTCATGTCCAGAGGGTCAGTAGGCCCATCGCACAGTAGCAATGCAGTAAATAGGGTTTCAGCTGTCGTCCCATCTCCTTTTCATTATAAGTCAAGATTGCCATTTACTGGGCCCAAATGCCACGTGGTATTAGATACCAAGGATGAAGCAGGCTTTGCATCTTCATCTCCCTAGTACTTCATTTCCTAGTTCTTTGACTTCCTCCAGACTCAAAAAGAGACATGTTTTCAACATGCGGATAGTAGGCTAGTTCCTGGAAAAAATTAACACTGAAAACAGATAACAAAGGCTGACAGAGCGGCTCAAGTGGTAGAGCGTCTGCATAGCAAAGGTGAGGCCCTGAGTTCAACTCTAGTACCACCAAAAAAAAAATCGAAAACAGATTACAGATACCCAGAATCTATACCTACCAAATACCCAAAATATACAGAGATTTTTGCTTGTTTGTTGGGTTGGTCAGTTGGGTTTTGGTTTTTTTGTTTTGGAAGGGATGGTGGAGGCAGTGTCTTGCTATGTAACCCAGGCTGGCCTCAAACTCAGGATCCTCCTACCTCAGCCTCTCAAGTGAGGGGGTTTCAGGCACAGCTACCACATCCAGCTATGCAGTTTTTGTCACTATTTATATGCATACAAAAGGACATTTTGCAGACAGTGAGGTTTGTGTGATCATGTGCTTTCATTGTAAGGAAGAGCATGTCCACTGGGTTGGCAGCAAAGTCTAAGCACAGGAGAATTTTATTTTAGGGTAAGTAGGTAGGGTATGGATGGGATTTTACTTTGAGTCTCTCAGAATCAAGGACTTAATAGTTTATCAGATAATGACAGATGCTATTCGAACAATGAAATTAAGACGGAATTTCGGGTGGGGGTGGAAGGTGGTTTGAAAAGGTGTAGATGGGAAAGGTGACAGAAAGAAAGTGAAGGCTTGAGCTGTGCAGTCTTCGTAAGGATCAGCATTCCCAGCATGGGAAACTGGTGGAGGCCCCCGGTGGGTAAGCCTCAAAAGCTTGAGCAGCACAAAATGCATGTGCTCAAAAGGAAAGCGTGGCAACGAGGAGAGATGAGGTCTGAGAGGCAAGGGAGGGCTGAGCTGGTCAGTGTGCAGACTTGAGTGTCCACTCTGTGAAGGATTAGTTTTCACAGAGGGGTGGCACAACCTGACTTAGGGGTTTTTTTCTCCCCAATTTTTGTCATGAGAAAATTCAAACATAAAAAAATAAAAAGAATTTTACAGTGATGAGCTCCTCTTCCTCTCCCTCCCCCTCTCTACAGTTCAGCCCAGGCAGGCCTCAAACTTTTTATTTTTCTGCCTCAGCCTCTCAAGTGCTGGGATTACAGATGTGCCTCACCGTATCCAACTTTTGCCGTGACTTTTAAAAGAAGATTACTGTGTTTTGCTATGTTGCTAATAGGTCAAAGGTACAAAGGCTTAAGAAAGGAGGCTGGTTAGTAAGAGACGAGGATGGGCGATGTTGGTGGCTAGTTCCCAGACTGAGGTGTTGAGCAGGAACTGGTAAGAAGTCATATTGAAGGAATACTATATACTGTGAGGTAGGCACTGTCCAAAGCATCTTACAACATCTCACATCATCACCTCCTTTGTATAGATGATAGTACAAAGGCCACAAGAGGTTGAGCAGTTTTCCCTAGATAACACATTTACTAAGTGGCCGAACTAGAACTTGAATGCAGACACTCTGGTTCCAGCATTTAGCTGGGTGTGAGAGAGAGAGAGAGAGAGAGAGAGAGAGAGAGAGAGAGAAGAGAGAAAGTAATTGAAGGTAATGGCAGGGGTTTTGGCCTGAGCAACCCAAAGGATAGTTTTACTGCTACTGAGATTTTTGGAGATGTTTTAGACTTGTGAGGTTTGAGCTGCCCGTTAGACATGGCCCCGAGATGCTCTGGGAGCATTCCAGGCCTTCAGAGTCATCAGTGTGGAGATGACATTTAGTGTTGTCAGATGTCATCACTCTCTAGGCAGTAATTATGGAGAAGGGAAGAGGTCCTAGGATTAAGTTCTAGAATATGCCAAAATTTCGAGATCAGGAAGGTGAAAGGGGGTCCTAAAAATGGCTAGTGAGGAAAGTCAGAGTCTGCTTGACTTAACAAACAAGCGAAGAAAACGTACCAAGGAGGAGGGAGTGAGGGGTGGCGGGACATGCTGCAGAGTGACAGGAGAGGATGGGGGACTGGTGTTGGGTTTGGGGGTGTGGAGACCATTGTTGCTCTGGAAGTAGAGCTTTGGTGGCATAGCAGGAGGAGAGCGTGAATCGTGTTGACACCTCAGAAAAGGACTGGAAGGAAATGGGGGAATAAATCGCAGCTCTTTCCAATCTTACTGTGAAATTGAGGAAGCAGATTGTTCTGGTGACCCTAGGGTCACCAGAGATCCTGTCATTAATAGCTGCAGTCCTCAGTTTTATCTTAATGACTGCTCAACAGTGTTTAGTATTTCACTATCCCTCGCTTTAAAAACTAGGTTTTATATTTTAGAGCAGTTTTGGGATACCAGCAAAGTTGAGCAGAGAGTTTCCGTATACCATCTGCCCCCACCTCCCACAGCTTCCCCTCCTGTCAACACCCCGCCCCCCACCAAGAGCAGTACAGTAGTTACAATTGATGAACCTACAGTGACACAAAAAATGTCACTGAGAGTCTGTAGTTTACATTGGAGCTCACTGTGTGTGTTGTAAATCCCATGGGTTTTGATGAAGGTTAATGACATTTATCTACCATTGTTGTATCATACAGAGTACTTTCACTGCCCTAAGATATCCTATGGGTTCCACCTGCTCATCCCTCCTTCTCCTCTTCCCCACTGCAATCACTGATTCTTTTATTGCCTCCATGAGTTTGTCCTTTTCTAGTCTATCACGTAGGTGGAAACATACAGTACTGTAGCCTGTTCAGATTGGCTTCTTTTGCTTAGCAATGCAAGGCTCCCCTGTGTCTTCTTGTGGTTCCGTAGCTTATTTGCATTTAGTGCTGAGTAATATTCCATTGCTGGATGTATCACAGTTTACCCCCACCCCTACTGATTGATGTCTTGGTTGCTTCCCAGTTTTGACATGAATAAAGTTGCCGTAATAGTCTTGTGCAGACATAAATTTCAGCTCATTTGGAGTAAATACCAAGGAGCAGGACTGTGGTAATGGGGCAAGAGTGTGTTTAGTTTTGAAATACACTACTTAACAGTCCTGCAAAGTGGCTGCCCCATTTTGCAAGAAATAAGAATTGTTATTGCTCCACGTTCTTACAGTGTTTGGCGATGTTAGTTGTTTGAATTTTTTAACTCTACTAGGTGTATAGTGATAATCTTGTTACTTTAACTCTCATTTCTCTAATGTGTGATTATGAGCATCTTTTCATGTTTATTTGCCATCCGTGTGTCTTTGGTGAGGTGTCTATCTGCAGGTCTTCTCCCAGTTCCCACACTGCCCTAGTTTGGCCTTGGGCATAAATGATCCTCCTATCTCAGGCTCCTTCTTTTTTTTTTTTTCCTGATGATGTTTAAACTCAGGGTCTAATGCTTGAGCTCTACCACATGAGCAACTCCACCAGCCCTTTTTTGTGTTGGGCATTTTCTTTTTTTATTATTATTATTTTATTATTCATATGTGCATACAAGGCTTGGGTCATTTCTCCCCCCTGCCCTCACACCCTCCCTTACCACCCACTCCACCCCCTCCCTCTGTCCCCACCCCCTCAATACCCAGCAGAAACTATTTTGGTAGATCAATGTCTAGCTTTTTAAGTAGCCTCCAAATTTTTTTCCAGAGTGGTTGTACTAGTCTACATTCCCACCAACAGTGTAAGAGGGTTCCTTTTTCCCCGCATCCTCGCCAACACCTGTTGTTGGTGGTGTTGCTGATGATGGCTATTCTAACAGGGGTGAAGTGGAATCTTAGCGTGGTTTTAATTTGCATTTCCTTTATTGCTAGAGATGGTGAGCATTTTTTCATGTGTTTTCTGGCCATTTGAATTTCTTCTTTTGAGAAAGTTCTGTTTAGTTCACATGCCCATTTCTTTATTGGTTCATTAGTTTTGGGAGAATTTAGTTTTTTAAGTTCCCTATATATTCTGGTTATCAGTCCTTTGTCTGATGTATAGTTGGCAAGTATTTTCTCCCACTCTGTGGGTGTTCCCTTCAGTTTAGAGACCATTTCTTTTGATGAACAGAAGCTTTTTAGTTTTATGAGGTCCCATTTATCTATGCTATCTCTTAGTTGCTGTGCTGCTGGGGTTTCATTGAGAAAGTTCTTACCTATACCTACTAACTCCAGAGTATTTCCTACTCTTTCCTGTATCATGTGTTGGGCATTTTTGAGATAGGGTCTGTCTATTTGCCTGGCCTGCTTTGAACCACAGTCCTCCTGACCTCTGCCCTCTGAGCAGCTGGGATTAACAGGTGTGAGCCTCCAGCACCCAGCAATTGCCTACTTTTTAATTGTTTTTTTTTTGTTGTTGTTTTTGGGTCTTTTTGCTTTCTTTATTGAGTCACTCCTTATTTTCTGAAATGCTTTGGCCATTGCTCTGGGACACTGTGACCTCAGTTTTCTTCCTGTCCTTTAGATGCACCATGTTAGTCTTCTATGCCATATTTCTCCTCTGTTCATCTTTTACATCTTTTCTCGTTTACATCATCTTTCTGAGCCATCTTCTTTCCTTTCATGGGTTGATTGATTACTGTTATGATTAGTCCCCAAGTAACATTTTGGTCTAGTTTCTCTGAGATATAGGGCTACAGATCCAACCATTTGCTACCCAGTGTCTTCCCTTC